ACACACACGGTGTGTATATTTCCTCAGCAGGCACACGAAACCAGGTACACAGGCTGATACCAAACGCCATTATGGAATCTAACTAAGATTGCACACATACGTACTTCATCCCATACTGATGGTGTAATTAGAGCGGCGGACTACGGCCTGGAAACCGCCATAAAAGTCTACTGCCTGGTAACAGAGCATATTGGCCCAGTGTTTCTATCTAAAATTCGCCTCTTTGTACGCATCGGTAATGCCCAGCCAACCTGAAAGCATTACTTCTGCCATCCTTAAGTTAACAAGCCCTATTGACACGCAGTCATAATGAAAATTTACAGGGAGTACATTTGTAAGCGATTTACAAGAGCCCACAGACTCCTGTAATACGGGACGGATGTTAATGTTTGCTTTATGAGCAAGAAAGGTGGGTGCGGCAATAAACGGAATCTGCAGAAAGTTTTGAGAAAAATTTCACTTCCGTCATATGTTTGTTTTACTACTCCAACTAAGTGCAGGAACCGGCCGCGTACTTTAAAACACGCGAATTAGAGGCGTGTAAACGGTTAGAAAACACATAATCCAAGGTTATTGGCTAAGGACGACCGGACTGGAAAAGATGGTATGTGGCAGGCAAAATTAACCCTAACATTAATTCAACCCAAACTTTAAGCCACATCCTAACCCTAAATTCAATTTTAACCGCATACCTGAACTCAATCTAAACGTAACCCTTACTAAAATTGTAGCCAACACCCTAACCCTAAATTCGAAGACCAGACCAAATCCTAATCCTAACCATAGACACCCTAGGACAAATAAATCCTAGTATAAAGCGTTTACCTAAGTCAGTTAAGAAGGTACGTTATATTGATAAAACCCCATTAGCTAAAAATTCGGGCCACTTTCAGCGTCAATCGTCAGTTGTAACGAGTAAAGTGCAGTACAAGGGGGTTATTTCAAACTGTGAGGGTCTACCTTTCCGAGCGGATTATTTGGAGTGTTGATGACGATGACCTTCGTCTTCTTCGTAATCTTTGATTCGAGATCGGCAAAATCCAGGCTCCAATCACTACTTGAACACTGACCAAGAGTCTGAAAGCAGAGGGGAAACAAAGTCTTCAGAGGGCACAACATGCGATATAACATTAGTGAGGCGTAAACCTAATACTAGTGCTCATTAAGGCGCTTGCAGCGGCTAGTAATCGCCCTGTCAGTCGAAAGCTGATGATATGGGTAGGACTGAAAACGCGCCAGCAATTTTAAGGCGACGTCCTTGGACTAAAATGTCTATAGCTTTGCTTGGAGAAGGGAGGGTGAGAGGAGTTGGGTCGAAAGGGAAGGGTGGGAGAGTGGACTATTTTAGCGCAAAAGGGATGTATTACAAAATGCTGGATATCAGGTAATAAGAAGGACCAAGGAATAGCTGTTTCGCACTTACAAAGTCATTTCTACTGTGGCGTCAGTGTTTAGTTTATGGCCTCCGCTCCTACACGACGTTCGGCCATGCTAATAAAAATTCTGGGAAGCTGGCCCACCCTAGGCATCCCACACTTGTTGAATAGCTGCCTTCAGTTAACTTCTCGACAGACAAGTTCGACTATTGCAGCAGAGCAATATCCGTAGACAGAAAACGTGTAGTTATAAAATATAACGGATTTAGGATGTGTGCGAGATAAATTCAAATCATTTCAGCATATTGCTATGAACAAAGGCTACAGATTAAGACGTTAACAGCCCACAACAGCATCGAGGGTACTAATATTGTGAGTTGTTTTCCCTCTAAATGCGGCTTGCAAATATGCTGAAAATTCTAAAACCTAAGAGTTTTGTACATACACAGTTAATGACTTAAGCTGTGCACGGGGCGTGAAAGGGAATTTAAAATATACCAACTCCCCTTCCAACCTTTGTTGTCTACTTTGGATCTTGCTGTAGGAAATACATCTTAATGAATACAACTTGTACCAAGTAGCAGTTTTAAGGTTCGATATAAACTGGACGTGATATGTGATTAAGAGGACGACACTTGTACATCCTTCATGTTTATGCCACTTAAAAGACTACGAAAACCTCGGTTA